TATATGACTCATGATGGAGGAATGAAGGGTCTTGGAACGGTGAGGCAGAGGAAGCTGTAAGAGGAGCAATGAGGTCCCAAACCACAAAAGGAATTCTATTCCTTCCTCCTTTCACTTGTTCCTGAGCCTGGCACCCATGCCTATTGTCCTGAGGCCCTATAGCCCATCCCCACTCCTCCCTGTGGGGTGGGTTAAGATCTGGGTTCACAATGTCTCCCCTCAATGCCTGTGTCTCCATTATAACATACATCAAGTCCTGGACTCTGTGATGTTCATGGTGTGGAGTCTCAGGTCCTTGACATGGTCTCTTGAAGCATGAGTCAGTGTTTGACAGTGCCCAGGTCCAAAGTCTAACTACTGATGAAATACCCAGGCTCCAGTTAGTGTGTTTTCAGATTTTTCCAAGGAAAGAGGATTTGAGGGTTTACCTCGCCTGAAGCCCACCTTCCTGGCCTTGGCTCACAGAGCTGAGCACCCAGATTCACGGGAGTCTGTGAATCAGCCTCTCTATCATCAGTCCATCCATATATTGATGTATCTAGCTCTCTCTCAGGAGCTCTGGTGTGCAGTGCCTAAGACACTTGACTGCTAACCAGAAGGCCGGCGGTTCAAATCCATCAGCTACTCCTGGGAAGGAAGGTTGGGCAATCTACTTCCATAGTGAAACTTCCTCAGAAATCCAAGGAGGGGTCCCTATGAGTTGGATATGACTCATCGGCAGTGGATGGTATTGGTAGCTGTCCATCAGATATCTTCTATTAGTTTATCTCTATGCTTGCATGTGTGGGTCGATCTATCTATCTGTCATCTGTCTATTATTTATATGTCTCTATCTATCCTCACTATTATTTTTATTTTATTTTATTTTTGTTTGGGGAGAGTGGAGGTTATTCCCAAAGGCTCTTTTAGTCTCACTGTAACAAGAAGAATCAACAGGAATTTGTTACATGAGAGATAGCCAATCCACAGTTAATTAGAGTTTTCTGTGTAAACATTCCAATACCAACCTGTGTCTCTCCTTGGGTGTGCTCCTGCCTGTGTCTCCACTCAAAGCTGAATGTCTGTAGGAACATTCCATGTATAAACTACCTTGTGACTGTGCCCATGAGATCTTTTGAAACACAGATGACTGCATGACTGTCTCCCACCTTCTCATCATTGAATCTGAAGACGCATTGGGCAGATGGAATGGAGGGCTCTCAGGGAACAGTTTGCTGACAGCACGTTGTCTCCTAGCCCTTCTCCACATCTGCTCTAGAACTGGTCCCCATGCTTGCACTGGTCTGGAGGTTACCTCAAGCTGGGACTTAATAGTACCTCACACCCCAACAGTATAGTGCATCTACACTAAACTCCTGGTGTATTTACTATTTCTAGCCTTGTTCAGATTATCTCTTTTCTTCACAGGAGTCAAAGAATGGAAACAAGAAGAGACATCCTCATGATCACCAGGAGTATCAGATGGTGCTCACATGTACCCTCCATCCACATATAGCCTGTGTCCTGCCATTTCCATGAGGGGGTGAGGTTCAGCCTTCCTGAGTTTGCCAAATACTTGTATGAGACAGACGAAGTATCTACCATGCCCTGGAATCACCATGGAAACAGGGTGCATGTAGTGGCCCCACCTTGATGAGGAGCTCTGTGTTTGGAACTGTGTGGTATCCACAGATGTGTACATAGAGCTAAATTTAATTGAATTTTACACATATATTTGTGTGCTACAGATGAGATAGTCACCAGGGAAGATGTTGAAAAAACATAGAGTGGAATGACATAATACTTGGACTCAGCGTTATCAAGCAGATGGTTACAGTGTGTGTGGAATATACAAATTGGGAACTTTATGAAGAAATACTAAGCCTCTTCTCTTCTTTATGTCACATCAGAAGAAATGGGTTAATATACACTCATGAATGCATACTTCTACCATGCCTGCAGTTACACATGATAATGCAAACACACACTGCCACAGAGACTCACATAATAACATTTCTCATTAACAAACACATTGTCATGTACACTCAGCACAGTAACACACACACTATCATATGCATTAAGGCACACACACTAGCACTATACATACAATACACACACACTAATAAGGAAACATACATATACATCAATGCACAGATTAATGCACAGCTGAACACACAGAATAAAACGCACTGCCATTAAAACAATTTTAAAAAAACACAGAAATATAAGCACACACGTTATCATACACAGAGTAACATAAACCAATACAAAATGATTCAGGACCATAGGCATACATAGATGAAATAAAATGCACAAGTATTTATATATCCACAGACACACACACACACACTCTCTTCCAGGATGACAAGAACAGCAAGATCTGTGGGGAAAATCCTGTCTGTTCAGACACAGGGAATATTAGGAGAATTGAAGAACTCCTTCCCTAAGGTCCTTTGTATCTTCTCACTTGATGGATCCTGTGGTCTGTGGGTTCAGAGCTCCCCCTGCATCCCTGCCTTTTCCCTGCAGTGAGGTTTTTTTTGCCTCAGCTCGTTGTGTTTTTCACCCAGTAATAGGCAGCTGTGTTCACAGAAGTCACAGGGATCAGCTCCTTGGAGAATTCATCCCTGCCATGTCTCTAGGAGTAGAGATTTGTCAAGAATGATGGATTTTGGCACATTATAGCACTTACCTGAGTGTAGTCACCAGCCCTTAGCCTCCCTGTGCACCTGCCCTGGGCATTCATATTGGGGTGCCTTGAGCACCCCTGCAGTCTAGCTCCTCCAGCTGCCCAACACCATCTATCCCATGGAGTATTCTGTCACACTTTGACTCACTATGACTTCAAACACCACCATCAGACCTCATCTACAATAGAGTGCTGGTTGAGTTCATGTCCTTAACATTTTTACATTCTCTTTTCTTCTCAGAAGAGTCAAAGAAAGGGGCAGAAATGGAGACACTCATGAGGACACCAGGTGTATCGTAGTCCTATGGACTGAATCCTGGTTATCTCCAGAGGTGACGGTGTGAGGTCCATCCTTTCAGAGTTGACGGATTCTTTCATCAGACCTGCCTGATGTCTCCTGTATCCATGGTGGAGCAAGGGTATGTGGAGCGGCCACACACTGATGAGGAGCTCTGTGTGTTGAAAGGTGTGACGAACACACGTGTGCACACAGAGTCATGCTGAATGGAGGTGTACATTTGAGGGCTTGATATGAGTAAATCAGCACTGAGAGAGTCAAAAAAATGCAAACTTAATCCTGTCTTGTTGGTTTCATCTTGGAGGACCTGGATGCACACATACTGTTTAACATGTTATCAGTTATAGGAACGTGTTCATATTGGCAAATATGCACTATGTTAAAAACATGAACAAGGTTACCTTGATGAACTAAGGAAAGGGAATGAACCAGGAGAAAGTGAGACAGCAGGCCAGTGCTGAGTGGGACCCCACACTCCTGTGTGAGGAGGAGGGTCAGACACAAACCCCGTTCTGCTTTTCTATTACTCACCATAACCACGCCACCATCTTGGCTCTAGCCTGACTCCCAAAGAGTGTCCTGATTGGGGAACCACACTGAGAGGTCTGTCTTGTGTCTGATTTTCAGAAGCATATTGCCTACCCTATCTCTGGAGGCAATGGTAGGTGGGTTCAATCCACCAACCTTTCAGCTAGTAGTTGTGTGGGTAACTATTAGGGCTATCCAGGGACTCCATCTGCCCTGACTGATTGGGAAAGATGCCCCAGATTTCCCTGAGCTTCATCAGAACACTGGTGTGGGGATCCTGGCAGAGTCCTTTCCCTCCATAAAGGACAGACTGCTTTTCTGCATGTGAGAATGCTCCTGTTACAGTCTAAAAACCACACCAAAGTCACTGCTATCGACCCAATCCTCACTCATAGCAACCTCTCTTTGGGTTTCTGAGGCAGTATCTCTATGGAAGTAGATTG